GTGGGCCTCTCACTGCCGTGGCCTCTCCCGTTGTGGAGCACAGGCTCTGGACGCGCAGGCCCAGCGGCCATGGCTCACGGGCCCACCCACTCCGCGGCACGCGGGATCCTCCCGGACCAGGGCACGAACCTGCGTCCCCTGCATCGGCAGGCAGACTCTCAACCACTGCGCCACCAGGGAAGCCCTTACATTAACTTTTTTTGACTGAAGGAATTTTTTAAATCTCTCTCCACAAACTCTCTGTAGCAGTCTAAATCTTTGTGTGTGTTTTTAAATAAAGTATTTCATTGTTTGATAAATCCCTGAAATATTTCCTACTTTGGAAACTATTGATATTGTCTATCTTCTTCATTAATGTGAAGGGCACATGGTTTTGAGCTGCCATAACTAGTCTGTAAAACAAGCCAGATTTGTTTCATCCCCTTGTTTATAATGGCTATCTTCATCAAAACGGAGTATTGAGTAAGATGCCTTTATTTAAATTTTCTAAACCAGTATGAATCCTTCTTGGAAGCTAACTTTAAAATATCTTATGCTTGTTGTGCTTAATTGACAATCATTATAATGGAGTTCGTTAGTCTGTAGTGAATACCTGTTGTCCTCCTTTAAATGCTGTACATATATACCTCTTTTCCAATGCATGCGGAGTCTATTCCTTCTTTCTAGAAGATGTACAGAGCTGCCCAGTGACTTGAGTATGCCATTGACCTGCTAATTTGAAATTTTATAGCATTGCATCAATTCATGGATTTTAAACATTATGCTTGGTTGGCTTTTTTTTTTTTTTTTTTTTTTTTTGCGGTACGCGGGCCTCTCCCGTTGCGGAGCACAGGCTCCAGACGCACAGGCTCAGCGGCCATGGCTCGTGGGCCCAGCCTCTCTGCGGCATGTGGGATCTTCCCAGACTGGGGCACGAAGGCGTGTCCCCTGCATCGGCAGGCGGACTCTCAACCACTGCGCCACCAGGGAAGCCCAATTTTCAGGATTTTTAAAAAGGGAGGGACAGAATGACTTTGGTAATCCTGGTATTATTCTCATAAATGTTAGTTGGATATTAGGTAGTGAAATAGTTATTCAATCTGTTACAGATGACATACATGGTGTAACTAATTTTCCTTTCAATTTTCACATGAGGGGTCACCTGGAATTGCTGTCTTGTGGGCTGGAGAGCCTTCCAGTCCAATTGCTATTTTCCTTTTAATGGCAACAAGATGTGGGCTCAGAGTGAAAGCCACTGTATGGGGACGGGGGCTCATCTGGCCACCATCAGCACAGAAGCTGAGCAGGTATGTTGAGAGGCTTACATCAGTTTCTCTGCTGGTTTGAATCTCTTTGCAGAGAAAGAGGAATTTCTATGCTCTGCTATACCTCTGTGCCTTTGCTTCGTCTCTTCCACCTGCCTGGAAAGACTTTTCTTCCTCTCTCATTTTTCTTCAAATGGCTAACTTCTTCTGGTCTTCCCAGATTTGATGCATGTGTTATTTTCTGCAGAAAACTACCCTGACCACCTTCTCTGCTCCATCTTTCCTATTCTAGTTTGGAGGTACTTCCGTGGTACTTTGTGCATTGTGTGACCGTGGCACTTACTTCAGTGTTCCAATAAGTCCTACTTTGTAGAGGGCTGGAGCCATGCCTTAAGCATCTTTGCATCTCCAATGGCCTGTGCAGTGCTAGGCACACTTAGATAGGTCCTGATAAATATTTCCTGAGTAAGTAAATAAATGAATGGTTAATCAGGATTGAAATAGCTTCTCAGAATAGAGCACAGGAAAAATAATTCAGAAGTATGGTTGTCATTCTAAAAAAAAAAAAATCTCAAGGTAAATTCAATTTGAACTGAAATTTATTTCCTCATGTAATATATTTCCATATATGTATAATACCATGACTCAGATTCTATTCTTGGTTAGCAGGGTTTCCTGGAGGATTCTGTTTCCATGGCTTTGCAAATATAGGTTCACCAGCTCCTGAATAAAATGGAGTTTATTGAAATACACAAACAATTGAAGAAGGCAATTTAAAAACTAAAAGTTCCTAGAAATCCAATCCTATTAAGTACTGTGCTAAGTGATTTGCAAGTTGATCTCACTTAATCTTCACAGTGACTCTACGAAATAGTGGAGTCATCCCTTTTGGAGTTGAGAAAACTGGGATTTGGTGAAATTAAAGCACTTCTTAACATTATGGAATAAACGCCAGAGGCAGGATGTGAAAACAGATCTGATGCCAATGCTTTTGTGCTTAACTAGTACTTTATTTGACTTCTTTCCTCTGTTCCTAACATAACAGCTATCACCTGATAAAGGCAAATATACTTATAAAAATTCACATTTTTATGCAGAACGTTATCACTCAATTTTTGGATAGCGATTTTCATATTTCCTGGGACTTACAGATGAGAACCTTGAAGGCCAGTGGCATTGGGTGGACAAGACACCATTGAACCCACAGATGGTGTGAGTATACTGACTGGGGCAAAAGAGCTTTATAGATAAGCAAAGGTGAGAAGAAGACAGCAAGCAGAATTCATTTTGGGGTGGAGTATACCAATGTAAGAAAGCTTACTCAGAATAGAGCATAGTGTGTTGAGTAACCTCTTTACTAGTAGACTACTATGCTTGTGTTGGACAGTGCAGCTCTAAATGTTTCACGAGGAGCATTTTCTCTGCCTTGTCCTCTGGCCTCTACCATACACACCCAACATGTATAGACACACACACACACACACACACACACACACACACACACTTCAGATTCTGGCACGAGAGTGAACCCAACAACTACCAGAAAGAAAAATGTGTTGTCTTTGTTAATGACAAAGACAAATTGGGCCTGGAATGATTTTCCTTTTGACTTTAAGACAAGTAGGATTTGTAAGATACCTGGAGCAGCATTCAACAAGAAGCCTAGGAAGGGGTCCCTGTTATGAGGACAGAAAAGAAGAACCAGTTAGACTAGGGAAGAATGTACATGCATCGTGGGAACAGAGAAAACATTCTCAGTCATAGAACATTTTCAGTCATGATGGCCTTAGTTATTCTTGTTTAATTCATTCAAGATAATGTGCTTTTGTGTAGTGTTTTGGTGGAAAAAATCATATTTTTCTGTGAGAATCAATTTTCATTAACTTTGCTTTCTTGATTGTATTTCAAGGTATTTACTTTTCAGTTAGTGTGTATTGATTAACGTATCTAAGAGTAGCTTGAATGGTGAAATCTATAAGTCATTGTTTCCTCTGCTCCAATTCTTAGCTCTTTAAGTTCAAAGGTGGGATATTCCTACTCATAGTGGTGTATCATTGTTTTTAACCCAAATATCACAAACTCTTTAAAGTTTTTAAGCAACATTTTTATGTCTGATGCTTCATTTTCAGACTTCTTAATAGTATGCCATTAGATTGAAATTCCACGAGCAAAATATTTTCTGAATAACAGAATAGAATAGTTAGAATTATGGTATTGCCCAGGTAGAAAAAAAAGTCTATTTACCTTTTCAAAAATTTACTTCTTACTCCACTTTAAAAGTCTTCCCATAGTGGAGAGTCTCAAGCTGACTTAACTTTCTTTTTGAGTGGAAAAGTCCCTTACAGGCCACCTTTACCAAACTCCTTTACTTCTATAGCTGTGGACACAAAACCCTTGGGAAGCCAAAGAGCTCACCTTCACATGTCTAGTGTATGACAGAAACAGGCCTATGGCCCAGATCTACCTTTCATCCCAAGTGAAATGTGTTCCCTTTGGTATTACGGGAGAGTTACTGGAGGTGCTGCGGCCTCTTGGCTAAAAGGTAATAGTTTTTAATTATTCTTGCAACATTGTATTAGTGTTTCTGTATTTTTAATTTGAATCAGAAAAAAGTTATATTTTCAATCCATTTATGTAAATTGTTAGCATGCTTCTTTAGAGCTATAAAGCTGCAGTTCAAACTAGCAAGGAAATCATGGCTTTAACAACCTGAAGTTATGCATTTGCGATGTGTGTAGTTTTAATTGTGAAGCAGTCACATCCAACATCAACAAAATAAGGCTGTCTTCTTACATATATTCATTTTGTTGATGTTTCCTGCATCCAAGCTAAAAAATTTCAAGCGACAGCTTTTTAACCTAACTTCCTTACCACTATTTTTAAAAACAGTATTTATTCTGTAAATTAGTGATCTTGTAAGTTTGGAATATTAGTGTTTGATTGATTGTGTGTGTGTCTGTGTTTCTGTGTTTAAAGCTGATACTTTTAACTGAAATAGCACCAAGTGACTTTAACTGTTAGCCATAAATTACATAGCACAAAGCTACAAAACTTGTTGAAATAAATTTATGTAAATGATAATAGGCTTGTATAGTTAATAGTATCCATTTTTCATTTGTGTAAAACTGTATTTAAAGATTCAGTTGTCAATAAAATATGACCTGTTTGTGATTTTATACATCTGTGTCTACATCTATACCTCTAATCTATTTCTCCCCCTGCTGGTCATTTTTCATTCCCTCCATGGCTACCATCACAGACCAAGTTACCATCTCTCTTACCTGGATTATTGCAATGGCCTTCTGATTGTTCTCCCTGTTTCCACACTTGATCCCTTTGAGTCTGTCCTCAAGTCTCATGGCACCTCTCCTAGTCTTCACAATTTCTTTAAGACAGCTGATAGTAATTTTATAAAAATAATTGCCTATTTCTTTAGGACATTGCAATAGTCCTAGAACTTTGAAACACTTAAAAAATCTAAACACTTTTTGTCTTTGAAAATGTAATGTATGTGGGCATTAAAAAGGCAAACAGTAAAAAACATTAATAAAAGTATGAGGTGAATCTCTCATCCACCCTGAACCCCTAAATGCCTCTTCAAAGTAACTATGATTATCGGGTTCTTATATATATATATCTATATATGTTTATATTTCCCCCATGCATTCACACATGCACATGCAAAAGCTACCTAGCCATGCCCCATCCAATGGATGATTTTAGGGCTATATTGTTGAGAAAGGAAAAGGGGGGTGGGAAGAAGAAGAAATAGGAAAGCAAGAAGAACATTTTACTTGATTCCTTATCATTTTTCTTTTAGGGACCCTTCAGGAAAAAATTTTTTGTGGTAATCTATAAGGTCTATAAAATTCTTGAAGTTCAAGAATTCTTAAATTTCACCTCAATTTTCTTTTTTTTTTTCTTTTTTTTTTTTTTTTTTTTTCTTGCGTTATGCGGGCCTCTCACTGTTGTGGCCTCTCCCATTTGCGGAGCACAGGCTCCAGACGCGCAGGCTCAGCGGCCATGGCTCACGGGCCCAGCCGCTCCGCGGCATGTGGGATCCTCCCGAAACGGGCACGAACCCGCGTCTCCTGCATCGGCAGGCGGACTCTCAAGCACTGCGCCACCAGGGAAGCCCTCACCTCAATTTTCTTATTTGTTAAATTCAAGTAAAATTAAATTTAATGTTTTAAAAGACTCATCTGTTGTATGATTTCTAACTATCTATATCAACTTGGGATTTGAATTTTTTCACTTTCATCTTTATACAGTTGTGCTCTGTAGGAATTTTTAATAATAAATATGTATCATTTTTATAAGGTGTAGTACAGTGATTTTTCTTTTTTAAAAAATTGGGGACCCCAATGGTAATAGTATTTAAGTCATAACAGTGGTTTATTTGGGGAATATGGTCTTGGGAATATGAATGATTAATTACTCTTTATTTTTTGCAACTTTTTGGGTTTTCTGATGCCTAAATATTTATGTAGTCCTATAAAATACGATATTTAAAAACAGTCTCAATTGGATGATTTCCTTCTCAAAGAAGAATTTTCCTGATAAATAATTTAGGTTCTAATGATCTTTACTTTAGCAAATAAACCCTTAACAATTGTTTCTTTTCTTGCCAAACTTTGAAGACAGAGTTAGTTGTATAACTTAAATTATAAATGGTGAAATAATATACATTAATATTTTTATATGTCTTTCAATATTGATATAAAATGTAAGATAATTATAGCCACCTGAAGTACAACAACAATGAACCAAAAAATTCCCACATGTTTTTCAGTGTTTCCTCATTGATGTTTATGAGATGAAAAAAAGAAATTAGAAAGTTGAAGATATTTTTATTGGATATTGGATTACTTTCAGGTTGAATGACTTTTGTTTTAAAGACATATTGATTTCAAAACCACAGATTGTCACTTAGGCCTAAGAGAAATAAATGTTTGTAAAGAAAGCTAATATATTATATTCACTTGTTCAGTTGAATTTTCCCATTCAATGATTATGCGTTAATTCCAATGATTTCAAGGGTCTCTTTATGGTGCTGTGTGCAAGAAACATGGTTATAAAAGCTGCCATGTTATTTATATATTCTTGAATAATCTTGTCAGTATTGATAGAATATTATGCAATAAATGGATAGGCTTGAGACAGGAAAGTGTCAAGTTGACTGTTCTCTTAGAATAATTTGACTATTGGACTCTGGTTCTGGCTGAGCAATAGATACATTTGGGTGCGATCCAGTTAGTCAATGGAAGAGAATAGAGAGGAAATGGAGTTCCTGGGATGAGTAGCCTGGATGACAGTCTCTTTGGAGCTGAAGGTTAGCATGATCTTTCTAAGAAGGTGTAGTAAATGCCTTTGGCCGGAAAGTCCACACCAGTCTTTTAAGCAGGAATACGTTTTATGGCTTGAAGAAGTTTCCTACGTATTATATAGGAGGACATAGGAGATATGCCTATAGGTAGGGAGTGAAAAACAGGATGAAACTGAGAAGAGAAGACAGACTTTTCAGGAGCTAAAAAGAAGACATGGGGCTTCCCTGGTGGCACAGTGGTTGGGAGTCCGCCTGCCGATGCAGGGGACGCGGGTTCGTGCCCCGGTCTGGGAAGATCCCACATGCCGTGGAGCGGCTGGGCCCGTGAGCCATGGCCACTGAGCCTGCGCGTCCGGGAGCCTGTTGCTCTGCAACGGGAGAGGCCACAACAGTGAGATGCCCGCGTACCGCAAAAAAAAAAAAAGAAGAAGAAGACATGACACAGAGCCTGATTTCGAATTGTTCAAGGCACTTTCCAAAATCCTCTTCTTTGCTGGATTTGGTGCTTGTTCTGTGTCCCTGTATTTTCTTACAAATAGTCATAACTGAAGCAAATGTACCAAAAGGAGAAAGGAATACTTTTTTTTTTTTCCCCCACAACATTGCTAGAGAAGCTTGGTAAATTCTGAGAAATCCCGAGAGTGATGCAGAGAAAAATGCACTTCTGTCAATATCATGAATTATAACATTCAAAACGATGTATTTTTATTTACATCAAAGCAACAAACACTTATGAAGTCCTTATAAAGTGCAATGCACACTTTTCTTATGTTGGAGTTGTGCGGCTATGATTATCACTTGTTCCTTCTCATTTATACATTTACGTTGTGCCTTCTGTCTTGGAGATTTTTCTCTGTTCAACTATTTCCTTCTGGCATTTCACAAATCCGAAACATACTGAAGAAACAGGGCATATCATTCCAGTTTTGCCTTGGATTTGAAGAGTCTCTTATGGTGGCACAGTCCTCCACTGTAACTATGTTGTTGGGCTCTCCTATATCCCAGAAGCTGAAAGAGAGAAACATGGGAGATTTACAAGAGGTAAAGTGACCTGTAAACTAGGCAAATTACATTTGTGTTGTTTAACTTCACAACAATTTTGTAAGGCAGGGATTATAATCTCTTATTGATAAAGAAAAGGAATCTCAGAAAAGCTAAACCACTTCTCTAAGTCACAGACTTTGTGAACAGTGAAGTTAAACCGGATCTTTCTGACTTTCTGTTCTGCTAGGATGTCTCATGGCTTTAGATCCAGAATGAGATGTTATGGGAAGGATTGGTATCCTGATGGATTTGTTTCCTTCATACTCATATCTCATATCATGTTTGCTCCCTTTATTCTACAGAGTTTGTATTAACTGAGGCGCATACTTCCATCATGTTACAGTGCTGTAGTGAAACAATGTGTTAAAGGGTCAGAGCATCCTACTTTTACTCCATAAGATCTCTTGTCTTTCTCAAATCACTGTTTTTGTCTCATTGATGGCAGTTTGTGGGCCTAAGACTACGAATTCCACTCTTTGTCTTGCATGCATTTCCAATGAATTAGTGCACAATTCTAAGCCTCTTCTCATTTCATCTGTTATTTCCCCTTTTCTCTTGAGCTAGTTCTAGGAGATGGGGGCAGTAGGTCCTTGTACTTTTCTTTTCTGTCTTCTACATCAGCTCTTTCCCTTCTTGCATCTAATATCACCAAGAATGGACTTGATTATACCTCCTGGACCAGAAGGAAGTTCTGAGGACCCTCCTCAACGGTGGTCTAACTTTACAATTTGGGGTAGAGTTATCATTCTACTACAAGAAGGAAGTTACCTCAGAGACTTTGTGAAAGGTGTACCATCTACCCATTGCCACTGACCCTCAGTCACCTGGTCCGTCAGTCCAATATAAAACTCTTTCCTTTTAGGTTTCATACTGTAAAGGAATTCCTATGGAAGATACACACAAAATATGAGGAGATCAGTTATTCCAATTCTGAACAAATGTTGCACGTAACTGTTATTAAAAGAAATAAAGTAGGATCTAGACTAGAGATGACAGAAAAATGGGCCTGAAATGGTAAGATCATAGAGGATTACCTCCTGATTTGTTTACTGTGGTAAAACATACATAACATAAAATTAAACCAATGAAAAAGAACCTTCAACAGAGAAGGAGGTTCTCAGTAACACAGTCAAAATTTATCTACTGTTATTGGTAGCCCAAAACATTACAAATCGTAGCTTAAAGATAATGGACATTTTGCTTGCCCTCTTTCACATGTTTATAAACATACTGGTCATTCTAAAATGAAGTCCCAACCCTCTTTTTTCCTGCCTTACTAATTAAGGAACTGAACATGGAAGTTCCTTTTTTTCTAGTTTCTTCTGGTAATGAAAATAAAGTTGGTCTTGACTTACAGAAATGGTAAGAACAGCATGTATTTCAGTAAATTCACTTAACAAATGGTAACTGTGGGCCACATACAGTACACATGTATGGAAAAAGGGATGTCTCCTGTGAAGGGTGTTTCATTGGCACTGGAGGAAGCTGTACTCCAACTACCTGCTCCTCCTGTGTGTTGATAACCACCAGATGAGCTCCCATGCTCGAGCAGTTTTTTAAGCTTGCTGTCCAGGTCATGGTGTTAGTAGAAAAGAAATAGCAGCTGGATTGAAAATGTACCCAGTTCAATGGACAGCAATTCTTGACTGAACCTAGAAGGAGAGAAGTTTCTGTGAGAGACCTCACAGAACTGGGTAAGTTACAGAACTGGGTAAGATAACAGAAACCTTCCTCTGAGCCCATAAAGTCCCTCATTTATCGTCCGAAGCCTTGGAACCCCTGTTATGCTACTGACATGGAACCCTATTATCTGTTCATAGACTTCCAAGTTCAGAGGAAAATTATGCATTTTATCTGAGTGACCTCTAAGCAACCACCTCTCATGTTGCCCAAACAATGTACCCTCCACAGAATCTCCAAACTGGTTGTCCGGATGGGCTACAGTTCTTAGACTTACAGAATTTAAGTCTTTGAAGTTTATGGGAACCTTCCTGCACTGTTGGTGAGAATGTAACTTGATACAATCATTATGGAAAACAGTATGGAGTTTCCTTAAAAAACTAAAAATAGAACTACCATATGACCCAGCAATCCCACTACTGGACATATACCCTGAGAAAACCATAAATCAAAAAGAGACGTACCACAATGTTCATTGCAGCTCTATTTACAATAGCCAGGACATGGAAGCAACTTAAATGTCCACTGACAGATGAATGGATAAAGAAGATGTGGCACATATATACAATGGAATATTACACAGCCATAAAAAGAAACGAAATTTGAGTTATTTGTAGTGAAGTGGATGGACCTAGAGTCTGTCATACAGAGTGAAGTAAGTCAGAAAGAGAAAAACAAATACTGTATTCTAATGCATATATATGGTATCTAAAAAAAAAAGAAAAAAAGGTACTGATGAACCTAGTTGCAGGGCAGGAATAAAGATGTAGACATGGAGAATGGCCTTGAGGGCACAGGGTGGGAGGGGAAAGCTGGGTGAAGTGAGAGCAGCATCAACATATACACACTACTGAATGTAAACTAGTTAGCTAGCGGGAAGCAGCAGCATAGCACAGGGAGATCAGCTAGGTGCTTTGCGATGACCTATAGGGGTGGGAAATGGAGGGTGGGAGGGATTCTCAAGAGGGAGGGGATATGGAGACATATGTATGCCTTGGCTGATTCACTTTGGTGTACAACAGAAACTAACATAGTATTGTGAAGTAATTATAATCCAATAAAGATCTATTAAGGGCTTCCCTGATGGCGCAGTGGTTGAGAGTCCGCCTTCCGATGCAGGGGACGCGGGTTCGTGCCCCGGTCCGGGAAGATCCCACATGCTGCGGAGTGGCTGGGCCCGTGAGCCATGGCCGCTGAGCCTGCGCGTCCGGAGCCTGTGCTCCGCAACGGGAGAGGCCACAGCAGTGAGAGGCCCGCGTACCGCACACACACACAAAAAATCTATTAAAAAAATTAAAAATAAATAAATAAATAGTACAGTCTCTCTTAATTTAATGGTGAGGAAATTATAGCCCACAGAAGGAAGTCATTTTCTACTCTCATGTAGCATTTTGCTAAGACTTGGATCAGGAATATATGCAAGAGTAAAGGGAGCATACTTCTGAGGTATTTCCAGATTTCCTACTCCATGAATTTTTTTCTCCACCTCATTTTGGAAGCAGGTGATGAATGAAAACAAAAAGTGCACTTCTGGGAATAACACCTTCCACTTCTAGATCGACTCTTCAGACATATACCCCAAATTTATTCTAAAAGTTTGCTATAATGTCTGCAAACTGTCCTGCCCCAATGTTAATTGCACCTCCAAAGTTTTATTCCTGTCCTCTTACCAACTTCTCATTATTCTCTGACAGTACAGGCAAGATTTTGCATTTTGCTTTTACAAAACAGGACCTAACTCGACTACTTTGTTTATCCCCAAATCAATCTAGAGGCCAGAAAATGTTGATGTGTAAATTTAGCTGTTCAAATTTGAGGACTATTATACCTAATCCATCATTATAGCAGGAGAACTCCGTGGAATCCTCAGGTGGCTGGAACTTTTCCTCATCACAGAGCTGAAAGGTGTGATACGTCACTGTAAGGAAAGGGGCACAGTTAATGTTCATAACTCTTGGTAAAAATATATCATCTCTGTAGTTATAAAAGTACCAATAATTATGATATTTCCTTACTATCTACTTTTCCTTCAGCATGGAGAGGAACCGAAGTTTACTTAAAGAAAGAAGAGAGAATTCACATTTCATGGTTTGCCTGATTTATGAAAATAAACGTACTTTTTTTCAGGCCCAAAGACCCAAAGAAAACAAATGTCTGCGCTCTCTTATGCCAAGTCTAACCTCTCAAACCTTCCTTCTAAGAAGTGATTTGTTGTGCCTCTGGCTAGGATCTCAGAGCAGGGTTACACTAATGACAAGGGTACGGGGGTGTGGGTGGGGGACTCAGGGCCACTAAGGAGATAAAAGATGCGTACCATGAAAAATGTGTCACAGGTCACTGAAATTTGGTAACAGTTTTATACTGGTTGGAGTTTCTGGCTTGAGATAAATAAGGGGAAAACTGGAATAGAAATACCCTTTGTGGGAGAAGAGAACTCACAGGCAACAAGAAAGAATTCATTCCTAATATTCACCATGGAGCTTGAATTTGACCTTCAGAACTCACCAACACATCTGGTGATAAAACAGGCACTCAGTAGCAGGATGCAGAGCCCAGCAACGGTCCATAAGAACACTTGGGAAGAGAAGCATCCTCTTTCTGGAGAAAGACATAGACATGGTCAATCTTCCCTTAAAATCTACAAAAGAGATATAAGAAATTCCTATTACCCTGCTTATCTCCTTCCACTTGCATTGTCTATATTGAGTAATTCTCAAACTTCAGCATGCATCAGAATCATTTGGAGGGCTTGTTAAAACACAGATTGTGGGGCCTCACCTCCAGAGTTAAAAATTCAGTAGAGCTGGTATGGAACCAACAAGTTCCCAGGAGCTGAGGATGCTGCTGGCCTGGGGACCACACTTGTACAACCACTGGAGTAATTCATTACAAACTTTAAGACTCTGACTCATAGACTTGGATAGATGTACAATTTTTCCTTTCTAATTCTCCCAGATTTCTCCCCTTCTTTCCCTTTCTCGCTCTCTTTCTCCCTCTCACTCTTCCCTGATTTTCCTGTCTCCCTCCCGCTCGCCTCTTTTCAGTGTCTCCTTTACCAAGTCCTTTGTAAGTGAGTCAGATAAAACATTGATGGCCTAGGAGTCCCTCTCCTCCTCCCTCCCAACACACATTTTACCTACAAGGGGAGTGAGTTGCAGAGATGTGAAGTGACTTGCCCAATGGGACACAATGAGCTATGGAAAGGGTAGCTCTCCCTAAACTCAATCTCCAGCAATCCAGTGTAACATCTAGTCTTCTAACCATCCTCTTTTATTTTTCTCTCTTTCACTCTCTGTCTTTCCTCTTTTACTCTACTGGATATTTTCTATTGTCCTATCCCCAACATATTTAACATCTCTTCCACAAAAAGATCTATGAAAGAAATGGGATAGTTGCAAATTTTACCTGTGCCTTGTGATGCAGATGATTTGGATGAATCCATTCTTTCTCTTTCTGTCTCTCCCTCCTCTCCGTCTCTCTCCTCAGTTTCTAAGTATAAGAGTGTTTTGTTGATAAGATTCAAAGAAAAAGAATCTTTAAGGATGAATACTTTAACTGTATTTTAGGAAGCTCAACCCTAAGACTTAAGAAAATTAACTTGCTCTGTGGCTGTTGTGTTTAAGTCAGGATTTCCTTTATTGCATAAGGAGGACAAGGGAGTTTATTGGGCAGCAAATCAGTCTCCTCACTCCAGGAAACAACAAAATGGGGAAATGATAACATGTTAAGTACCAACAAAACAGACTGACCTTAGGGAGATAGGAGGGGCTTAAAAAATATTGTTTTATTTTGGTCGATAAAAATTTTCTGCTTTCTTCCAGACTTAACTCATCCCTAAATTTTTCCTTGACACCTGTGGAGCTTACCTCTGCACTCCCAATTTCACTTTGATCTTTGATCTCTTTTTTAAAAAAAATTTATTGGAGTATAGTTGATTTACAATGTTGTGTTAACTTCAGGTGTACAGCAAAGTGAATCAGTTATACATATACATATATCCACTCTTTTTTTTTTTTTTTAAGATTCTTTTCCCATATAGGCTTTTGGAAGGTACACCCTCCCCCCTTTTTTTAAATCGATGTGTAGTTGATTTACAATGATGTGTTTGTTTCAGGTGTACAGTAAGGTGAATCAGTTATACATATACATATATACACTCTTTTTTAGATTCTTTTCCCATATAGGCCATTACGGAGTATTGAGTAGAGATCCCTGTGCTATACAGCAGGTTCTTATTAGTTATCTATTTTATATATAGCAATGTGTATATGTCAATCCCAATCTCCCAATTTATCTCTCTTCCTACTTATCCCCTGATAACCATAACTTTGTTTTCTACATTTGTGACTCTACTTCTGTTTTGTAAATAAGTTCATTTGTACGCTTTTTTTAGATTCCACATATAAGTGATATCATATGATATTTGTCTTTCTGTGTCTGACTTCACTTGGTATGACAATATCTACATCTGTCCGGGTTGCTGCAAATGGTATTATTTTGTTGTTTTTTATGGCTGAGTAATACTCCATTGTATATATATGTACCACATCTTCTTTACCTATTCCTCTGTTGATGGACATTTAGGTTGCTTCCATGTCCTGACTACTGTAATTAGTGCTGCAGTGAACATTAGGGTGCATGTATCTTTTTGAATTATGGTTTTCTCAGAGTATATGCCCAGGAGTGGGATTGCTGGGTCATATGGTAGTTCTATTTTTAGTTTTTTATTCACTTTCATCTTTACTTTTACACATTCGTTAACTGAAAAGGAGACACACCATTTGGCACAGAGCTGGGCACATAGTATATGTATTTATACCTTAGCGATGTGAATTTCTTTGCACCTGTCATGTTTTTCCTTCCTCTTTCATTTGCAGGTCTTAAACAGTCTATTATTGTGGATTTATATGTCTTTTATCGAATGGTGACCAATAGGCTATTTTACAGGTCCAACTCAGTTGAACAGCCTCATGTAGCATGGCTATGTACTTTGAAACTCAGCTCAGTTTCTTACATCATAACACAGCTTCTGAGGCTTTGGAGGCTCAGTAGGAAGTTTAATTCTATTGTTCTGGATTATTTGGAGGTTTTTGTTTTATACTGTAGCCTATTTCTCCTAATGGGAAAAATGAATTTGAATGTCAGAAGAAGCAATTTCAATTAGACATTAGAATATAGTGCCTTTCTGGAAGATTAGCAGGATATAGTAATGTCCCATTACTATAAAATACTTAAGAATAAGATCAACTGGTCTCAGTTGATTTAAATTCATGTTAGTTTCATATATATATATTTATATAATATTTAAATTCACATTAGTTATATATATACATATAAATATATAAAACCTGGTAATCCCCACGCCCGATGACTCACAGACTTCCTATGTGTTTGAAAATATCCCTGTTTTCAAAGGGACTTTTTATTATTTCAGTATATTGATCAATTCCCTCTGCATTCTCCATTTAACAGCTACATAGATTAATTAGAGAATGTTTAAAATTTATACACGTTTATCTTGTAAGCATATGCAATTTAATGTGTACTATCAGCAAATGGCTTTTGACTGGTAAAAAGAGAGAAATTATCTAGTGGGTGAGTTATATGAATTATTAAATGATAAATCACACTGACTACAGTCCATTATTTATTAATTATTATCAATCA